TCAACAGGTATTTGTTGACTGCCCCCGATTGGCTGGTTGGCTGGCTGACTGGCTAGTAGTAAACTTCAAAAATTAGCTCCAAGAGTTTTCTCTTTAGGTAATGATAAAATTGATGTTTTAGGAAAATTCAGCAGTGATTGGAGTATAGAATGTCAGATGTGATGGAGGAGAATCATATATGATTAGAAAGCTCTTGCAGATTTTAGGAGGCTGAGAGAGAAATGGACAAATATGTCTGGTTGAAAATGGGAAAAAAATGATGCTTTTAAGAGTTACTGTGAAGAAAGAATAGCTGAGAGGTCTCCCTTCCTTTACTGTATCTCAGGTCAGATTCCCTAGAAGCAGAGCCTGAGGTGAGGATTTTGGTGCAAGAGACTTGTTGAGGGAATACTCTCAGTTGAACCATGTAAGGGAGTGAGAGAAGGAGCCTAGAGCAGAGGAAGAAGCACAGCCAAGCCATGTGTTCACTAGAAATCTAGCCCCAGTCTGAAATGTGAAAGACACTAGAGAGATGCCCCACTTTGAGGCAAGGGGATTGGCTACTTTGTCCCAGATTCAGTCAATCATTGGCTGTGGGCTGTCTCCCTAGGTCAGAGGGAGGAGAGCACAACCTTGCACACATTTCCTCACTAGGTTTCTTGCAGTCAAAGGCAATTCTCAGAAGGGTACAACTGTGGGATAGTCACAGACAGGACTCACAGCAGCTGGAGTTTGAGTGCACTAGCCTGGTAAAAGGCACCTTGGTGGGGCACCAACAGTGTCTACTACACTCAGCGCTATAATCGACCCTTTGTATCCATGGGCTCTGCATCTGTGTGTTCAACCAACTATGAATCAAAAATATTCAGGAAAAAAGGCCTATAAAAAATAAAAATACAACAATGAAAACTAATACAAACAAAATGCATATAACTATTTACTTAGCATTCACATTGTATTAGGTAGTATAAATAATCTAGAGGTGATTTAAAGTACACAGGGGTGTGTGTAGCTTGAATACAAATACTACTGCATTTTATATATAGGACTTGAGCAGCTACAGATTTTGGTATTCTAGGGGTCTTGAAACCAAGCCTCCATGGATACCCAGGGATAACTGTATTTTCTTCACATAGCACCACCCTGCTGAGAATCTTCCAACAGCTTCCATCACATCTGGAATAAAATCCAAATCCTTTATCTTTCTGTCTTTTCGGCTTTAACCATATACATTCTCTCTGTATTCAAACTTTATTTTTCTTTCTTAGACATGCCAAGCCTATTCTCACTTGGAGCCTCTGTGCCTGGTTTTCACTCTGCCTGGAATACTATTCCCCAGATTTTCACAGCTAACTTCTCATTATATGGGCCTCTCTGTTCAAACAGACCTTCCACTGTCAGTTTCTCAGGCAGAGGCTGTGAACTGCACAAGCAGCTCTGTCTTTCTTCCAGTTGTCACCCTGGTGCCTTGGCATGTAGACACCCAATATATATTGTTGAATGAATAAGAAAATAGTTGGAGAGAAATGAATAAGCAGTATGGGTTCAAGGTCTAGTTGAGAGATTGGATAACTGTGAAAGAAGTGGAAACACTGACAGAAATAAGAACTGTGAAGGGTGAGTCAGTTTGTGCAGAAAGATATGAGATTTTGCTTTAGACGTTGAATTTGAGAGAGATGGTAGAGGCAGAAGAGTGCAGTGATTAGGAGCACAGCTTCTTGAACTAAATTCATATCCCAGTGCCACCACATCCCAGCTGTAAGATCTTGGTCAAGTTAATGCCTCTGTGCTTCAGTTTCCTCAACCGTAAATAAGGATAATAATATTACCTATCTCATAAAGTTGTTGAGAGAACTAAATTAATATCTATAAATTATATAAATAGAGTCTGGCTATTGCATTATTTTTCATGGAATTTAAGGAGTTCTGTATGTAAAAGAGACAGGTTAAGCCGGGGCTGAGACTAGAGTTGGGTGAGTGAAGCACTAATGAGATACAATTTGAGGAGGCACTCACTCTGAGGGTTGTGTGAGGGACCTGCACAGTCTTCCTTAAACTTTGCCTCAAGGACCTTCACTCCCCTCACCCTAGTCCTGGCCTTGATCAAAGTAATCAAAGGGAAAACACTTTATCAGCAAGATTCTCTAAATCTGGGCACCTGTAACATTTCCTGTCTCTCGCCTTAGTGGGAGTGGTTTCTTGCTCTTTCTAATCTCTGCATTGCCTAACTGTCCTTTGCTTGCTTCTCACCCTTTTCTATCACTTACATAACTAATTCTCTGGAGTCAGTTCCCTCTGCTCAAATAGTCTGAGTGGATTCTGTTTTCCTGATTGGACCGTGACTGATGTAACAATTTATATACTCCAGAGCTCCTTAATAACCAATAGGATTTCAGGGAGGTGAGGGAATAAGCTAACATTTATGGAGTCACTTCAGTATGTTAGGTAATTTTACATATAAGATATTTAATTCCTATCAGGTAGTGGAGTGATGCTCACTAGATACTTTGTCAATGAGAAATCTGAGATTCAGGGAGGTATAATGCATCTAGTGTCACTAAGAAACAGAGCTAGGCTTCAAATGTAGTTTGAAGGTAGAGTTAATACCTCTTCACCATGCAGAGCCTCTAAGGGCATCCAGATTGTGGGTGAATGCCTGTTAAACTACAATAATTTGTTCTTTTTTGTCTCCCTCGTGAGATATTTTTTTTTCTCCTAGGTGAATACTGACTGACAATGACTGGCACCTATAGGACCTCCTCCTCCTCTTTATCTTTCTTCTTTTTTATTGAGGTCACATAACACAATTCATATAATGCAAAATTAATAATTTTAAAGTGAGTAATTTAGTAGCATTTAGTCACACTGTTATGTAACATCTCTATCTAGTTCCAAAATATTTCCATCATTTCAAAATAAAACCCATTACCCATTAAGCTTCTCTTCAACCCCCTCTCTTCCCTGCCACTGGCAACCATCACTCTATGTTCTGCTTTTATAGATTTACCTATTCTGATATTTCATGTAAATGGAATCATACAATATGTCACCTTTTTTATATCTGGCTTCCTTGATGTAGCATAATATTTTCGAGGTTTGTCCATATTGTAGCAAGTATCAGTACTTTATTCTTTTTTACAGCTGAATAATACTCTATTTATGTATATACATTGTACCACAGTTTGTTTATCCATTCATCTATTGATGGATATTTGGTTACCACATGTTGGCTATTGTGAATAGTGCTCCTATGAACATGTGTGTACATGTATTTACTTGAGTATCTGTTTTCAATTTTTTGGCTATTTATGAACTCATTAACTTATAGCTCATTTTTCTGTTGTAATTTCTAATTCCTATTACTTTCAGTTTACAAAATGAAAATACAAATTTCTGTTAAAATGTTTTTTCTTTTTTTGAAGGCTTACGTCTATAGTCTTATAATTTAGTTTTAATTTAATATGCAAGTTTTGTTTATCTATCTGCCACAGTATATTTGTTTTTTTTTTTTTTTGAAATGGAGTTTCACTTTTGTTACCCAGGCTGGAGTGCAATGGCACAATCTTGGCTCACCGCAACCTCCGCCTCCTGGGTTCAGGCAATTCTCCTGCCTCAGCCTCCTGAGTAGCTGGGATTACAGGCATGTGCCACCATGCCCAGCTAATTTTTTGTATTTTTAGTAGAGACGGGGTTTCACCATGTTGACCAGGATGGTCTCGATCTCTTGACCTCGTGATCCACCCATCTTGGCCTCCCAAAGTGCTGGGATTACAGGCGTGAGCCACCGCGCCCGGCCCAGTATATTTGTTTTTATATGTGTATATGTGTGTGGGTAACAGAGAGAGAAAGAGGAGGGGTGAAAGAATAGAGGGATTTTTGTTGTTGTTGTTGTTGAACATTTAATATAGCCATTCTGAGACTTGAAGGTTATTTACAACACTGGCTTGTTTTTCATAAGAATATTAGCAGATTTTATGTAAAATAACATTTGTAAGTCATAGAGGTCAAGCTTCTTTCAAGGTAAGTGCTAACAGAGAAATATCTTTTGAAAATTTCGGCAAATTTCAATGCAAAATAGCAATAAATGCAGCTACTTTCAGTTATCTATAAATAAAATTATGTTTCTCTCAGAACAAATAAGAGCAGATGAGGGAGGGATCATTGTATTTTTGTAATTTATATAAGAAGAAAATATGATTAAAATAAATTGAATGCACAAATAAGTAACTCAGGTGCAAATTATTTATTTATGAAACAAAACCTCTTGAAAAGAGAATGCTGACAGCAACTTAGTTTGCAATATACTGCACTCCTGTTCTTACCCTTACATTTTCAAAGTCATACGTAATAATTTAGTTGCACTCCCATTTATATTAGTGGGAATTTTGAAACTTAAATTTCTACGCACATCATTGAAACTATATAGGTCAAAGTAAACTGTTAATGAAAAACTGTTACTCATTTTCAATCAAATAGTTTAAATCTCTCACCAAGGATGTCCTAGAAGGCACCTTCCTTATAGTCACAGAAGAAGAATTATAGTATAATGTTACTATTTGGAGGTCATCATCTTTAAAGCATCATGGATAAGAAATAATATTCAAGAGAAAATACATGTTTCCCAACCCTAAAGACATTAAAAGTTCAGGATCTATGTTGTTTTATAGTAAGCAAAGGACATTGGACCTTTTCAGTGGTCCCTTTCAGCTGGGTGCATCTAATCAGTAATAGAGGCATGCTAAGGTGAATTTTAATTAGAACTAAATTGTGGTATTACTCTTTCATACCCTGAACATCTGTTCCCTTCAGAAATGATGATTTATGCAGGCTATCAGAGCAGACAGCTTGCTACAGCTTATGTCATGGTTAGTAGGAAGCTGGTGGTAGCATTTCAGACAACCAGCATCTAAATGGAGACTGGACAGTGTATATTACACAGGTAATAGAGGGAGGGAAGTATGATGTGTCCATTTTTAATTTTGAAGCCAAATATTTACTTGACTTAAAAAATTATCTTCTAGACCATCTGTTATTAATGAAGAAAGTAACTTGGACAATGAATGGGTTGATGCTTCCTACTGATGTCAAAAGACGGAAAACCAAGCCTGTTCTTTCTGTTAGAATGAAGAAACTTACTGAGAGGACCTCAGTCCGAATTCTGTTCTTTAAGAATGGCATGGGGCAGGATGGACATGAGATTACAGTGGGAAAAGAAACAATGGAAAAGGTAATTTTGTATTAAATATTGAACTATGAATTCAATTTCAAAGTTTTGTGGCTTTTGAAATGTGTTGTTTTTTCTAAGTATCAATGTCAACAAATACCTGCAATATTAGAAGACATTATATAGAACTAAAAAATCATATATAAACCTGTTCATATGTCTGCTTATTATACTACTACCATAAATTACCTTAGCAAAGAAATAATATTTCAGGAAATTGTTTGCATAACATAGTTGGCCATTTACCTAGTTAAAATGTTGTATTTATACTAGAGAAAACATTCTAATTAGTTAAAATATTTTATAAGCTAGTTAGATTGAAGCCAGTCCAACCTAACTTCCAGTCTCAAATCTGCCTCTTTTCACTTAGAATAGTAGTAAGACCTAAAAGCATTTTTGATCCTCTGAAGAATTAGCAAAGCCCCAAATCACTAAAATGCAGTTTGAAAGTATTCATGTAAGTTTTTAAAAATAAATCTAAGGGAACTAAGAAAAATTATGAAACAATCAAGCAAACTTTAAAAAACAAAATTTAAAGTGTTACTTGTCATACAAATGCATGATTTTTAGAAGGTACTGGTACTTCCTAGAACGTCTTTGATATGAAAAAAATACAGAGGAGCTAATGGGAATTTGAAACACACACAAATTTTTATACCTATAAGGATTTTTCAACCAATTTTAAAGCAACCTAATAATAATATAGTAACTGAAATGTCTTAAGAATGTATGAGAGACAGTAAAACATAACCAAATGCCTAGACTTGAATCTTGGCTTCACCATTCGCTAGCTGTGAGAACTTGGACACCTTTGTTTCCCTGAGCCTCAGTTTCTTCATGTACAAAGTGGAGATAACAGCAGTCCCTACTTCACAGAGTTGTTGCAAGGATTTAATATGATGTTATGCATGGAGTACAATGCCTGGTACCCAGAAAGTTACTATTAAATCTTTTCTTTTCTTTTTATACTTTTAAGTTCTGGGATACGTGTACAGATCTTGTAAGATTGTTACATAGGTATACACATGCCATGGTGGTTTGCTGCCTCCATCCCCGCTTTACCTAACTTAGGTATTTCTCCTAATGTTATCCCTCCCCAACCTCCCCACCCCCTGCTACCACTCCCCTAGACCCTACCCTCCAACAGACCCCAGTGTGTGATCTTCCCCTCCCTGTATCCATGTGTTCTCATTGTTCAACATCCACATATCAGTGAGAACATGTGGTGTTTGATTTTCTGTCCTTATGTCAGTTTGCTGAGAATGATGGTTTCCAGATTCATCCATGTCCCTTCAAAGGGCATGAACTCATCCTTTTTTATGGTTGCATAGTATTCCATGGTGCATATGTGCCACATTTTCTTTATCCAGTCTATCCTTGATGGGCATTTGGGTTGGTTCCAGGTCTTTGCCATTGTAAACATTGCCACAATGAATGTACATATGCATGTGTCTTTATAATAGACCGATTTATAATCCTTTGGATATATACCCAGTAATGGGATTGCTGGGTCAAATGGTATGTCTATTTCTAGATTCTTGAGGAACTGTCACACTGTCTTCCACAAGGGTTGAACTAGTTTACACTCCCTCCAACAGTGTCAAAGTGTTTCTGTTTCTCCAAATCCTCTCCAACATGTGTTGTCTCCAGATTTTTTAATGGTTGCCATTATAACTGGCATGAGATGGTATCTCAATGTGGTTCTGATTTGCATTTCTCTAATGACCAGTGATGATGAGCACTTTTTCACTTTTGTTGGCCACATAAATGTCTTCTTTTGAAAAGTGCCTGTTCATATCCTTCACCCACTTTTTGATGGGGTTGTTTAATTTTTTCTTGTAAATTTGTTTTAATTATTTGTAGATTCTGGATATTCCCTTTGTCAGATGGGTAGATTGCAAAAATTTTTTCCCATTGTGTTGGCTGCCGTTTCACTCTAATGATTGTTTCTTTTCTTTTGCAGAAGCTCTGGAGTTTAATTAGATCCCATTTATTTATTTTGGCTTTTGTTGCCATTGCTTTTGGTGTTTTAGTCATGAAATCCTTGCCTATGCCTATGTCCTAAATGGTTTTGCCTCTGTTTTCTTCTAAGGGTTTTACTGTGTTAGGTCTTATGTTCAAATCTTTAATCCATCTGGAGTTAATTTTTGTATGAGTTGTAAGGAATGGGTCCAGTTTCAGCTTTCTACCCATGGTTAGCCAGTTATCCCAACACCATTTATTAAACAGGGAATCCTTTCCCCATTGCTCGTTTTTGTCAGATTTGTCAAAGATCAGATGGTTTTAGATGTGTGGTGTTACCTCTGAGGCATCTGTTCTGTTCCATTGGTCTATATCTCTGTTTTAGTACCAATACCATGCTGTTTTGATTACTATAGCTTTATAGTATAGTTTGAAGTCAGGTAGTATGATGCCTCCAGCTTTGCTCTTTTTGCTTAGGATTGTCTTGGCTATGCAGGCTCTCTTTTGGTTCCATATGAAGTTTAAAGTGGGTTTTTCCATTTCTGTGAAGAAGGTCAATGGTAGCTTGATGGGGATAGGATGAATCTATAAATTGCTTTGGGCAGTATGGTCATTTTCATGATATTGATTCTTCCTAACCATGAGCATGGAATGTTTTTCCATCTGTTTGTGTTCCCTGTTATTTCCTTGAGCAGTGGTTTTGTAGTTCTCCTTTAAGAGGTCCTTCATGTCCTTTGTTACTTGTATTTCTAGGTATTTTATTCTCTTTATAGCAATTGTGAATGGGAGTTAGCTCATGATTTGGCTCTCTTTTTGCCTGTTATTCGTGTATAGGAATGCTTGTGATTTTTGTACATTGATTTTTTATCCTGAGACTTTGCTGAAGTTGTTTATCATCTTAAGGAGATTTTGGGCTGATATGCTATGTCATATGCAAGTAGAGACAATTTGACTTCCTCTTTTTCTAATTGAATACCCTTCATTTCCTTTCCTTGCACGATTGCTCTGGCTAGAACTTCTGATATTATGCTGAATAGAAATGGTGAGAAAGGGCACCCTTGTCTAGTGCCAGTTTTCAAAGGGAATGCTTTCAGTTTTTGTCCATTCAGTATAATATTGGTTGTGGGTTGGTCATAGATAACTTTTATTATTTTGAGATACATTCCATCAATACCTAGTTTATTGAGAGTTTTTAGCCTAAAGAGCTGTTGAATTTTGTCAAAGGCCTTCTCTGCATCTATTGAGATAATCATGTGGTTTTTGTCTTTGGTTCTGTTTATGTGATGGATTATGTTTATAGATTTGCATTTTTTTTTTTTTTTTTGAGACAGAGTTTCACTCTTGTTACCCAGGCTGGAGTGCAATGGCGCGATCTCGGCTCACCGCAACCTCCGCCTCCTGGGTTCAGGCAATTCTCCTACCTCAGCCTCCTGAGTAGCTGGGATTACAGGCACACGCCACCATGCCCAGCTAATTTTTAGTATTTTTAGTAGAGACGGGGTTTCACCATGTTGACCAGGATGGTCTCGATCTCTTGACCTCGTGATCCACCTGCCTCGGCCTCCCAAAGTGCTGGGATTACAGGCTTGAGCCACCGCGCCCGGCCAGATTTGCATATTTTGACCAGTCTTGCATCCCCAGGATGAAGCCTACTTGATCGTGATGGATAATCTTTTTGATGTGTTGTTACATTTGGTTTGCCAGTATTTTATTGAAGATTTTTGCATCAATGTTCATCATGGATATTGGCCTGAAATTTTCTTTTTTAGTTGTGTCTCTGCCAGATTTTGGTATCAGGATGACGTTGGTCTCATAAAGTGAATTAGGGAGTATTCCTTTTTTATATATGTTGTTTGGAATAGCTTCAGAAGGAGGGGTACCAGCTCTTCTTTGTATATCTGGTAGAATTTGTCTGTGAACCTGTCTGGACCTGGATCTTTTTGTGGTTGGTAGGTTATTAATTGCTGACTCAACTTCAGATCTTGTTATTATTCTGTTCAGGGATTCAACTTCTTCCTGGTTTAGTCTTGGGAAGGTGTAAGTGTCCAGAAATTTATCCATTTCTTCTAGATTTACTGGTTTATGTACATCTAGTTGTCTGTAGTAATCTCTGATAGTAGTTTATATTTCTGTGGAATGGGTGGTGATATCTCCTTTGCCATTTTTTGTTGCATCTGTTTGCTTCTTCTCTCTTTTCTTTTTTCTTAATCTGGCTAGTGGTCTACCTATTTTATCAATCCTTTCAAAAATCCAGCTCCTGGATTTATTGATTTTTTTTTTTGGAAGGGTTTTTTTTTTGTGTGTGTGTGTGTGTGTCTATCTCCTTCAGTTCTGCTCTGATCTTAGTTCTTTTTTTTTTTTTTTTTTTTTTTAAATACTGAGTTTTATTTCACATGTATATTTTTGTCTCCCCACCATTTCCATGTCTGACCACCACTACTGTGTCCTATCATAACATTCCATACATACTTAAAACCAAGCAAAGGGTGGAGTTCCATCTTTAAAAACTACAGGCATTTTGGACAACACATTCTTGGCAATGGTATCTGGACAACATTTATCAAACACGGTAGGGAAAATTCTCACTCTGCATTATAAAAAGGACAGCCAGATAGCAACTGTTACAGAAATGAAATAAGACGGAAAATTTTTAACAAATTGTTTAAACTATTTTCTTAAAGAGACTTCCTCCACTGCCAGAGATCTTGAATAGCCTCCTGGTCAGTCATCCGGAAGCAATTCTTCACATAATTGATGAACTTGGCTTCCACTTTGGGAAGAGAACCACCTTTTTCTATACTTGCTTGCATTTTTGCTTTAATGTCCTCTACAGAACTAGGTCCTTTTGGTGTTTTAGGAGTTTTTTCCTGTTTTTTGAAGGATTCTTGTCCTTTTGATCTTGGTGTTGATGATGGTTTTGAGTCTTTTCCATTCTGATTTGACTTTTGTGCATTTTTGGCTGGAGTATCGCGTATAGATTTCTTCACTGGCACTTTTTCTTCAGTTTCCTCATCATCGAAATCATCATCATCATCATCTTCATCATCATCATCATCATCTTCATCATCATCATCTTCATCAGCAGCAAGTTTTACTTTTTTCTGTGGAACCTTGCTACCACCTCCAGGGGCAGATCGCTTTCCAGACATACTTAAGAGTTTCACATCCTCCTCCTCCTCATCTTCTGACTCTGCATCTTCCTCCACAGCTACTAAGTGCTGTCCACTGATATGCACTGGCCCTGAACCACACTTTAATCGTAAGACCACTGGTGGTGTTATTTCAAAGCCCCCAAGGGAAACCGTTGGCTGCACAGACATTTTCAAAGTCGCCAGTGTTACTTTAATTGGACTGCCTTCGTAATTCATTGCCTCTGCTTCAACAATGTGCAACTCATCCTTTGCACCAGCCCCTAAACTGACCGTTCTTAAAGATAACTGGTGCTCATTTTCATCATTATCCACCTTAAAGTGATAATCTTTGTCGGCCTTTAGTTCACAACCGAAAAGATAGTTCTGGGGCCTCAGGGGGCTCATGTCCATGTCCATCGAATCTTCCATCGGGTGGCGACACGCACTTAGGTGGAAGAGAAGGCGGACGGAGACAAACGACGACTGCTCAAAAGAACAGCCACTCAGGACGGACTCACACCAGGGTGATCTTAGTTCTTTCTTGTTTTCTGTCAGCTTTTGAAATTGTTTGGTCTTGCTCTTCTAGTTTTTTTTTTTTTTTTTAATTTTGACAATAGGATGTTGATTTTAGAACTTTCTTCGCTTCTCATGTGGGTATTTAGTGCTATAAATTTCACTCTAGACATTGCTTTAAATGTGTCCCAGCGATTCTTATACGTTGTTGTCTACATTCTCATTGGTTTCGAAGAACATCTTTATTTCTGCCTTCATTTCATTATTTGTCCAATAGTCATTCAGGAGCAGGTTGTTCAGTGTCCATGTAGTTTTGTGATTTTGAGTGAGTTTCTTAATCCTGAGTTCTAATTTGATTGTACTGCAGTCTGAGATACTGGTTGTTATGATTTCCGTTTTTTTGTATTTGCTGAAGAGTGATTTACTTCCAATTATGTGGTTAATTTTAGAGTAAGTTTGATGTGGTGCTGAGAAAAATTCATGTTCTGTGGATTTGGGGTGAAGAGTTCTGTAGATGTCTATTAGGTTTGCTTGGTCCAGATCTGAGTTCATGTGCTGGATATCCTTGTTAATTTTCTGTCTCATTGATCTGACTAATATTGGCAGTGGAGGGTTAAAGTTTCCCACTATTATTGTCTGGGAGTCTAAGTCTCTTTTGTAGGTCATTAAGAATTTGCTTTATGGGTCCTCTTTCCTTGCCTAACACAGCCATGGCTCGTGGTCCCAAGAAGCATCTGAAGTGGGTGGCAGCTCCAAAACATTGGATGCTGGATAAATTGACTGGTGTGTTTGCTGCTTGTCCATCCACCGGTCCTCACAAGTTGAGAGAATGTCTCCCCCTCATCATTTTCCTAAGGAACAGACTTAAGTATACCCTGACAGGAGATGAAGTAAAGATTTGCATGCAGCGGTTCATTAAGATCGATGGCAAGGTCCGAACTGATATAACCTACCCTGCTGGTTTCATGGATGTCATCAGCATTGACAAGACGGAAGAGAATTTCCGTCTGATCTATGACACCAAGGGTCGCTTTGCTGTACATCGTATTACACCTGAAGAGGCCAAGTACAAATTGTGCAAAGTACGAAAAATCTTTGTGGGCACAAAAGGAATCCCTTATCTGGTGACTCATGATGCTCGCACCATCCGCTACCCTGATCCCCTCATCAAGGTGAATGATACCATTCAGATTGATTTGGAGACTGGCAAGATTACTGATTTCATGAAGTTTGACACTGGTAACCTGTGTATGGTGACTGGGGGTGCTAACCTGGGAAGAATTGGTGTGATTACCAACAGAGAGAGGCACCCTGGATCTTTCAATGTGGTTCATGTGAAAGATGCCAATGGCAACAGCTTTGCCACTCGACTTTCCAATATTTTTGTTATTGGCAAGGGCAACAAACCATGGATTTCTCTTCCCCGAGGAAAGGGTATCCGCCTCACCATTGCTGAAGAGAGAGACAAAAGACTGGCAGCCAAACAGAGCAGTGGGTGAAATGGTCCCTGGGTGATATGATAGATCTTTATGCATAATTAAAAATCATGTGGCATGATTAATAGCAAAAAAAAAAAAAAGAATTTGCTTTATGTATCTGGGTGCTCCTGTATTGGTGCGTATATATTTAGGATCGTTAGCTCTTCTTGGTGCATTGATCCCTTTACCATTATTTAATGCCCTTCTTTGTCTCTTTTGATCTTTGTTGGTTTAAAGTCTGTTTTATTAGAGACTAGAATTGTAACCCTTGCTTTTTTTTTTTTTTCCCCATTTGCTTGGTAAATCTTCCTCCATCCCTTTATTTTGAGTCTATGTGTGTCTTTTCACATGAGATGAGTCTGTAGAATATAGCACACTGATGGGTCTTGACTTTTTATCCAGTTTACCAGTCTGTGCCTTTTGATTGGGGCATTTAGCCCATTTACATTTAAGGTTAATATTGTTAGGTGTAAATTTGATCCTGCCATTTTGATTCTAGCTGGTTGTTTTGCCTATTAGTTGACACAGATTTTTCATTGTATCAATAGTCTTTATCATTTGGTACATTTTTTGCAGTGGCTGCTACTGGTTGTTCCTTTCCATGTTTAGTGCTTCTTTCAGGAGCTCTTGTAAGGCAGGCCGGGTGGTGATAAAATCTCTCAGCAATTGCTTGTCCATAAAGGATTTTATTTCTCCTTCACTTATGACGCTTAGTTTGGCTGGATATGACATTCTGGGTTGAAAGTTCTTTTATTTAAGGATGTTGAATATTGGCCTCCTGCTCTCTTCTGGCTTGTAGGGTTTCTGCTGAGAGATCTGCTGTGAGTCTGATGGGCTTCCCTTTGTGGGTAACCTGACCTTTCTCTCTGGCTGCCCTTAGTATTTTTTCCTTCATTTCAACCCTGGTGAATCTGATGATTGTGTACCTTAGGGTGCTCTTCTTGAGGAATATCTTTGTGGTGTTCTCTGTATTTCCTGTATTTGAATTTTGGCCTGCATTGCTAAAGGTTGGGGAAGTTGTCCTGAATAATATTCTGAAGAGTGTTTTCCAGCTTGGATCCATTCTCTCTGTCACATTCAGGCATACCTATCAAACATAGATTAGGTCTTTTCACATGATCCCATATTTCTTGGAGGCTTTGTTTATTTCTTTTCAGTCTTTTTTCTCAAATCTTGACTCTTCTCATTTTATTTCATTGAGTTGATCTTCAATCTCTGATATCTTTTCTTCTTGATTGATTTGATTATTGAAACTTGTATACATTCACAAAGTTCTCATGCTATGTTTTTCAGCTTCATCAAGTCATTTATGCTCTTCTCTAAGCTAGTTATTCTGAGCAGCCATTTTGACTGGCACCTGCAAGATAGAGTCATCCATACACCTGAGAGAAAGGGGGCTGAAGGTGGGGAGCCTGGTGCTTTGGTTGGAAGTGCAAAGATCACTTGCCTTCTGCATTGCTCTCGCTGGGAACTGCACTGCAGAGCTGTTTCTATTCGGCCATCTTTGAGTTGAACCCCATTAAATCTTTTCTAGTATCGCCTTTGGGACTCATAATATACACCTAACAGAAATTATTTTTCTTTCTAATGGAAAATTTTTATTATTAAATCATGATAATTTTGTTAAATAAGTCTTTTTCAAATGGAATGTTGCTTGGAACAGTTGAATAGTTCACTAGATACTGGAAATTTTAATCAAAATATCTACTTCATTATTTATTTATTTTTGTGGTTGTTTTACAACCACAACTGGTTAAGAGCGTTTATCGAGGAGCTGGGAAACTTGAGTTTTATTTCCTTCTTATCTATAGATTTGGATTATGAGTAAAACAAGAGATATTACACAACTGAGCAAATTGCTAAGGCAAGTTTTAACATCTTCCCTGGAGATTTTGAAAAAATAGAGAAGATGGATGTATCTCTTGGACTGTTAAAATACAGTCATTCTTGGAGATAGAAGGTATATTAGAGAACCTCTTGAGTTCACTTCAGTTCAATCTCTGTAATTCTATGCCTTGGTGGTAAAATTGGAGTAATAGTCACTTTCACAGATTATATGTTCTTAGATGAAAGGTTGAGTATAAATAAAAATGTCTCTGCTATTTTGTTTTTTGTCTCTAGAGAGCAATTTATTTAAAACTGATCAAGGAAGTCTTTTGCTTACTTTTCTTTTACAATTTGTAGAATTTAAAGCATTTTCACAAATTCATAATAGAACTCATGATAGAACATGATTTAGTAACAAATGTATTTGTAAATATTTGCCTCAGTATCGCATTTAAGAATGAGTTAAAGGAGAGGAGGCAACAAAATGATGATCTTGGGTGTCAATAAGAACTTTTTAGAAGGGAAAAATAAGGCTTGCTAATTATTTTGTAAATAAAATTTTGAAAGTGTTGCTGATAATCATAGGATAATGCTCTATTTATACATGAAACACTAAATCAGTAATAGAAATAGGGAAGTGGCATAGTCTTAAGAGAAAAATACATTATTTTCTCTTTTATGGTAAAATATTAGGAATGTTAGCTATTTTTAGATTACTACTAATAATATAAAACTGAAGTAGAATGTAAAGGATTCTAATATGGTGAAGTTTATTGCAGTGGGATAAAAAGAGAATTATTGAGGATGGGTGATACAATAAGATAATTAAAGCATAAAAGTCCTCTATGAGCACAGAATTGAGTCCAGGGAAAATGACTACATTTTAATTATAAGTGGAAAGTCAAAAGAAAATCCATTTATTTACTTTAGTAAATAATTAAGAAGTTTGAAATGAGGGCCAGAAAGGTGTATTTCTTTACTAAACTCTGGAATACAAGAACCATAGCACATCTCTTTGTGATTTGAATCTGATGATTTTATAATTGCTTGATATGGTTTCAGTAAGCACACTGCACATGCTGCTATAGGATTCAGGCTAAACATACATATCCTTGGGTTTAAAAGATATTTAGAAAAATTTGCAGGCATAAGATGCCTATTTAATGGGAAATGAAATATGGCTACGATGGATACACAACTTTGAGGTTGGCATCATGGTGATTAAGTTTTTTTCCAGTAGTTAATAATTATATCTTACTCATTTGGATTTTCTGCTTGTTTTGCTACTATCACCAATAGCATGAAATTACAGTGGTGAAGAAAATGATGAAAAAGATAATGAAATTAATGAAACAATTTAAAAAAATTGCCATCCTCTTGATCCAATTTGAACTGCTCCTGGGATCTCTCTTCACTATCAACATGGGAATTACTGTTCACTCTCTCCTGTGTTGGATTTCTTTTCCCTGGTTTCCTACTTTTCCTGCACCTCATTTACTCTATTGTGTGCATATTCCAGTGGCTCTCCAAAAAAGAGAAGATGGATAGTGAATTTTTTAAAATTGTGGGACATATTTTTTTCTGCCAATTATTGAAAGTATTGCCCCATTGATTTTTGTTTCCAGTGTTGTTGTTGAGAAGTCTGATATCATACTGATTCATCATCCTTTGTAGGAAACACAAAAGATGAAAACATTTAGAACCATCTCTTTATTGATAGTATTCAACTTTTTTTCAGGATGTGCTGGATACTCACGTTGTCTTTTCAGTTTGAAAAGTCTCATCCTTTTCTTTTAGATGTTCTATTGAATTATATATATATTTGACAATATCCTTTAACTATATTTTTTCTGTTATGATTTTATGGAACTCCTACTTTTATATGTTGAATCTTATGAACTGAACTTCTAATATTCTTATCTGGGAGATTTGCTTATCTTTGCCTCCCAAACCAATAAATATTTTGCTTCTTCCTGTACAGTCTGTGTTTTCTCTAAGTACTTGGTTTTTGTTTGTTTATTTTGGGGTTTTTGTTTTATTTGGTTTTGGTCTTTAATGTTACAGACTTACTTTAAATATGAGTTACTCCTCCATCAGTATTTAAAAGTGAAGAACTGAAAAGCTGGTTGAAAAGTTGTGAGCAGGGTCGGGCGCGGTAGCTCAGGTCTGTAATCCCAGCACTTTGGGAGGCAGAGGCGGGTGGATCATGAGGTCAACAGATGAAGACCATCCTGACCAACATGGTGAAACCCTGTGTCTACTAAAAATACAAAAATTAGCTGGACGTGGTAGCTTGTGCCTGTAGTCCCAGCTACTCAGGAGGCTGAGGCAGGAGAATTGCCTGAACCTGGGAGGCGGAGGTTGCAGTGAGCCAAGATTGGGCCACTTTACTCCAGCCTGGCAACAGAGTGAGACTCTGTCAAAAAAAGAAAAAGAAAAGAAAAGAAAGGAAAAAAAAAAGAAGAAAAGAAAGAAAAGGTGAGCATAGGTTTGTCTTACTTTATTGACAGATGGATTTCATTGGAGAGTATTTTGACTAGGCTTCTTCTTTCATTGGGGTTGCATTCCTGTGTCAGTGTCTTTTCTCTGGAGCTAATCAATTTCACCAAAGCAAATCTGCTAATTTGAGCAATCTAGTAGCCAAGTGGAGAAGGGAGCTAAAAGTTTCACTTTCAATATGTAGACTTTCATTTAATTCTCCTCTTTTCAGTAAGCTGCCTTCACTCTGAGCTCTGCCTGGTGTCTCCAATTCCCAGTTCCTCTGGATTAATCTCTCCAGAGAACAAATCTTCTGTCTTCTCTTCTGATAGCAAAAGTATAGTTGCCTGACTGATTGGTGTGAGGGAAGGGTTCTGGAGGTTTATCTGTTTTCTATCTAGTCAACCTGTTTTCAGCCCTACTTTTAGAGGTACCTGATGTCTCAAATTTCTGAGCCTTTCTGATGTTCTGCATTTTTTGGAAAATAATTATTAAGTGTCAATCTTTTATTTAATATTGACAATAATTGATCAATAATTAATTACTGATTTTTATAGATAATGAATAATTCTAATATTTTCATACTATCCCAGTTGATTGTTTTGCCCAGTTTCTTGGGGTTTTTACAGCATCATTTGGCAAATATAGTGTTAGCTTACTTCAACAAAAACAGAATAGTTCCCCTGTCACTTGGAGGCATCATATACTGACTGCAGGCAAAAGGCCTGCAGTTTTTCTCAAAATATGGTCTGCAGAACACTTGCACCAGAATTGTCTGGCTTTTCTGTTCAAAATT